TTATAATGCCTCACCCCCGTACCTCTATTATAATGCTTCACCCTAGCACCTCTACTATAACAATTTACCTATTTCACCTCACCTCTCTATGCCTAAACCACCCTCCCTTATTTCGGTGCTTCACCCCTATATAACCACCGCTCACTTTGGACCTTCACCCTTATACTACCCCCCCTTATAATGCTTCACCCTAACACCTCTACTATAACAATTTAACTATTATACCTCACCTCTCTATGCCTAAACTACCCTCCCTCACTTCGGTGCTTCACCCCTATATAACCCCCCCTCACTTTATAGCTTCACCCCTATACTCCCCCCCCCTTATAATACCTCACCCCCGTACCTCTACTATAATAACCTCTCTATTATACCTCACCTTTCTATTACACCTCACCTCTCTATTATACCTTACCTCTCTATTACACCTTACCTCTCTCTTACACCTTACCTCTCTTATAAAGCTCTACCTACCTATCTATTACACCTTAAATAACCTATTCTCGCTCTGAATTCAATTTATGACGCTATTCAATACTCTCACTATATTAACTCCTCTCTCCATACTCTATCCACCTCCTTCGGACCCATATATACTTATGTATCAATTTCACCGTCTCCCCGTCATGCCGTGACCCTAAATACCGTACGAGCTCGCTCTCATTGCCGATTGATACCCTAAGCCCTTCTAACCTCCGAGCCCACGCCTCCTTTATCACCTCACTTCCCTCGCCGTATACTATCACTGCTAGCCCCGATAATAATAACCCTCGGTACGTGCAATGCCCCTGGCTGCCGGTATTCACGAATCGACTGCAAATAGACTGCGGCATACCACACCCGTAGTAACCACCGAATGCGGCATATTTGACCTGCCGGCGCACCCGTAACCACCAGCCTTTCGGGGAGTCATTGCCGTACTGGGTCTGGGCCCGGCACTCGTACAAATCATGCCGGTCTTCGAGCCCACGCTGAGTACACCACCAGCATCGTCCTAGCCATAACTAGGCCTGTTGTTGTAAAAATTCGACCCCGGCGGCAATATCCTGATGTCCTGCCTAAGCTACCTCTCGGACTACCTATCTCTCACGGTCTAGCCGCTGGAACTGGTCAATTGCATGCGTGGGGATCGATGGACGGGCCACGCGCGTTGGTAATGAATGGGTTAGCTCCCGTGGCGTCGAATTATCAATTGGTAATGAATTGGTAATTGGTGCTAGCAATGAATTCGTAATTGGTGCTGGCAATGAATGGGTCAGCTGCCGTGGCGTCAAATTGGCTATTTCTATTAGCAATAAATTGGTCAGTTTTCCTGGCGTTGAAATTACACCATGGGTGGTCTCTTACCTGGTGGCTCAATACTGCGGCGATAAATCGGACTTATCGATCTGACCTGGGACCGAAATCCGACGGATTCACTCTCACTTCGCTAGGAATTCGCCTCCGAATCGCTAGTTAATTGGATCACTTCCGGTGGCCCCTGGCTATATTGAATACCCTCCATGGGTTGCTCCGTATGAGCGTCCGCTGGCTGGTTCAAAATATGGGATAAAACCATGGAATCGGACGTCTGAAATGATGCATTGTGAACTGGGCCATTTCTCTCACTTCCTAGCTCACTTCCTAGCTGACGTGCTGGCTCACTTCCTGGCTGACGTGCTAGCTCACTTCCTAGCTGACGTGCTGGCTCACTTCCTAGCTGACGTGCTGGCTCACTTCCTAGCTCACTTGCTATCTCTTCATTTGCCTGCCAATGCTCGTCACACCTATCGTAGCGCTGCTCTGTATCATCAGATTCTCCACAATATTGACGTTGATAGCTATCTAAATACTCGTCAAGTATGACGCGTCGGCAGCAGTCTGGAGATATATATCGGTCTAGCCGGCATTGTTCCGCCTGAGCTTTCACGGGGTCTTCATGAATTGGGTCCCATTTCGGCCGTAAAAACCCGTGGGGTTGAACAATAATGGCCTCACTGCGAAGCCCGTCTCGGCCAGCACGGCCGCTCTCTTACGCGTAGTCTAATAAGCTGCGTGGCAACCTAATGTGAATAATACTGCGAATATTGGGTATATCAACACCTATGCCTAGCGCACTAGTAGCGGCCACTACCCCTGTGGTATCGGCCTGGAAACGGGCTAGTACGCCATAGCGATCGATCGTACGGCTGTGATATGCCTCATATTCGACTAATTAGGCTAGTTTCTCGACAGTCTTGGTGGTAAGCCCATAAATGACCACTCGGCCGGCCTGAGCACGCGCGCGCGTAATACGATCTCTAATAAATCGTACTATATTGGGGTCCTCTACCCAATCGTAGCTATTAGCGTATTGGTTCGGCACCGTGGGCTGCTATAGCCGGTACGCGACATTCATGCGATGGGTGCGTGACCGAAATAAATGGACCTTCTCTCGCGATGTGCGTAGACGTTGAAATAGCTGGTTTTCGGCCGTCGGTGGCAGCGTGGCAGTCAAATATATTATCTGAGCCTGAGCCACGAGTAATCGACCTAATTGAGCTATGGCGGGCCTGAAATTGGTCTGATCGTTTAATACGACGTGGCATTCATCGATCACAATGCGATCTAGCCGATGGCATAGCCGCTGGCGGTTCAAAAATGTCATGAAATCCTCTGTAATAGCTGACTCTGGCGTCACTAGCACAATAGATGCCTGGTCTGCCGGCCGACGGCTCTCCCACGCCACGCATAAAATGCCGAGCTGCCGGCATCGATGCATTATATCACCCCGTAATGCAATTAATGGCACTACCACCACCGTGACCCCACGGGGGCTGATCCACGCGGGAAGCATGAAAAGTAAGCTTTTTCCACCCCCGGTTGGCATAACGGCTACCACCGGGCTCTGGCCTTGCTGAATAGCTTCTAATGCCGGTGCTTGCACCCCTCGGAGCCGTAGCTCGCTATTACCACCTATCATGCGCTGCATCTCCGGCTCTATGGCTGCCTACGTCAATTGCCATCGACGCTCCGTACGACCTATCTCAGCTTCCTTCTGCCATGGTGAAAACTGGGCCAGTCCTAATGCACTCTCGGCACCCCCGTCATCCGTGGACACAAAGCCTAAAAAGCGATGCCAGTCGGTGCTACTAAGCCGAAACATCTCACGCCGGTGGGCCGTCGTACCAGGCTGCTCGGTGATACCACGACCGTAGATCATGCCGGCAACGTGCGATGAATGGGCCGCCTAGAGGTCAGCAATATGACCCATCCATTGCTCAGCATTCATGCCCTCTTCGTCATCCTCTTGTGAAGCCTCGGCTCGCACGTCCTACTGCGTATTATTGGGAAATACGCTAGACGGCCGCATAAAGCGACGGCTAATGCCAATAGCAATATCCCGGTAAGCATTCAAATTAATGGCTTGACCATTAAGCCCAATGGTGGTTTCCCGCTTTAGCACTTCACGGAGTCTCTCAGATGACCAATCTCGGCCAGTGCCAGGATCGGGACCCCAGAGGTAAGCTTGACGTATTTTACTAAGTCCAAAATTAGTAAAAACTCAAAA